AGAGAGCACCAAGGACTCCACTTTATTACTTTATTACCAAGGACTCCACTTTATTACTTTATTACCAAGGACTCCACTTTAATACTTTAAGCAACTCTATCCAAAATATATTTTCAGTGCAAATGAAAACTGTATTAAGTTTTATAACCACTGTATTGGAGGTTTTCTGCTGTCTAATTGTTCACTGGTTTTACCATAGCTATTTACAGTTGTATTTTTTTCAATCCAATAATGTCCATTTTCCACTTTAAACATTTTTACCACAAATGTATTGATATCGTGATACCACATAGCCAATCAGATTGGGCTATCGTACAATATTATCCATTGCAATTTTTTTTAAAAAAAAGTTTCACTAGCCAACTTTTGAAGAACTGCCCAAATTAGCTAAATGAAACATATCCAGAAAAGTCATCATAATTTAGGTAGGAAGACAACTTCAATGAAACAGCTCCTATATGATATACTATATTTATGCAACATTCATCTCCTACATTTTTATTCCCAGATGATGAATTTCTCTCAAGCAATGTGAGCAGAGAAAGAAAGGAAAGCTGTCCAACAATATTTGAAAATATTAAACCATTTGAAGAGATTAAACTTTAGCAAGATGAAAAAAAAAAGAATATTTAGAAATCATTTCATGAAAGCCTGTTACATTTTACAGCAGATTTCTTTTATTTAGAATAGATCAAAAGGTGCATCCTCTACTTACCATTTCTTCAATATAGGGGAACAGCATGTCTCCAAAACATTCTGTTGACTCTATTGGAAGCTGAGCTGGTAAGTTATCAATAGAACACATCAAAATCCCAAGTCCCTCCACACTGGAAGAGAGAGACATTTCATTCCATGTAATGAACAGCCAAAAAGATGTAATTAATGGTGTTGGGGGAGAGAACAGCTGTCTCTTAAAATAGAGGAGACCACTTATCAGATAAGGTCTAAGGCAGGGGTGTGAAACTCGACTTTATTGGGGCCAGGCCGTGTTGGACCTTGGGGGACCAGGGTGGGCGTGGCCAAGGTGAGTATGACCAACTCAATGTCACTCGTGTCGGGGGTGCCTGTGGTGGCTCGAGTGCTCTGCCACTGAAAATGGGCTCCCAAGATCCGTTTTTGGCTGTGATGGCTTCCTACAACCCTCTGCCATTAAAATGGAGCTCAGGAGGGCCACTCATAGCCCTCACAACCTCCATTTTCTGCTGCAACAGCATCCTGCAAATCTCTGCCTCTGGCAGAGGCACCACAGGCCAGTTCTTTGCTGTTTCCAGGGTGGTTCCATGGGCCAGATCTAAGCACCCTGCAGGCCAGATACAGCCCCGGGCCTTGAGTTTGATACCCTTGGTCTAAGGAATTCTAGGGAGCATGACCTACTTCCCAAATCTGGCTTTCATCTTAAAATAAATGGTACACAGAACAAAAAATTCATTTCTCTTCCAAAAAGTCTGATTAATTTTTGCTGTTTAAGAGAACCCTTGCCCTGCCAGAGTGGTTAGAGAAGGGGCTCATTTACAAATGACTGCCAAGAAAGGAGTGGTTGGACATGAAACTTTTATTTCCAGAAATTCCTTAAACTAAATTATTTTGGCATCCCTTATGCTTGATTACATTCATCCTAGTTAAGTAAAGAATTCCAAAAACATATTTTAAAAAAACTCTGAATCCTCAAATCAAAAGCAAGCCAGTACAAATTTAAAAACAAAACCTCTTACCTGTCATGAATAATGTGCTGGTCAGCATCATACATACAGAATGGACTATCAATTGTTGTGCATTCTGTCATAAATTCTATAGATCCTTCAGTGTCTGCTGAGATGTCACATATTGCAACAATTCTAGAATTGATTAATAATCCATTGATCAAAAAAATCCCTCAGAATAATGAATGAAATATCATTATGGATAGATTTAAGTGGATAAAATTGTATCTCGATAAATTATGAGAATTGTATTTCTGAATATCTAGCCTCTAACCATTTTCTAATTGGTGGACAGTGACCCAAATTAGGAATAGTTCTACATCTTCCTTGGTCTCTGTTTGTGTGTTCAACATTACTTATAGCTTATATAGTGAGGCTGATTTAACTACATTCATCTCAGCAAAATTGTCATTAATTAGGAAAAAAAAACCTGATTATTTGAGAAGCATTACCATTCCAGGGTACAATTTTATTAAAAAGGAATGAAAACAGTGGGAAGAATGCTATCACAATGCTAATCATTAGGTAAAGTTTAGACGCAAGTATAGTAGTATGAATATTTTTTCCTATTCATTTTGGGTATTTTTAAAGGTATGTTTAAAATCAAGACTGCAGAATGTGACATGCCTAAAATTAATGAAATCATAATTCAATAACCATACACAGTAGATCATATAAGACAGAAATAGATAATTGTTGTTATCCAAATATTTTGGATTCATTTTTATCAGTACCAACTAGTGGCAAGAGACCGAATAAATCCAAACTACCTGAGGTCACCAGGTTACCTACACAAAATAGAGAAGTGCAGCTGAATGCATATGCATACCTGAACTCAGTAGAGAAAAATTTATTATTATTAGCAATAACAGAAAAGTTACTGCATTTGGAAGAACAGACCAGAAAGATACCAATTTAGTCAACTATGTCTTCAGCACAGAATTATTCATTAGAAATGTAATTCCAGGATCCTTCCCATAAAACCCTAACAATTGGGATTAAATGTGTCTCTTTCTATAGTTGATATATTCTGTTCAAACTCAAATGATTGGTCTATAAATCTTGACATCATTTGAAGACATGCTATTTGTAAAGATTGGCAAGGAACCCTTCAATGTTATCTATCAATAGGCAAAGGAATTTTCATCTAAATGGATCTGCAGTTTTTAAACTGTCTTGCTTGCCCTAACAGGTTTTAAACGATATTTGACTTATATTTGGTGCCAGCAAGCCTTTTAATGTTCGACTTATAAATTGGGGAAAGCTATTTTATTACTATTTGTTATTATTGGACAGGAAAGAGATATTTAACTTGCAACTAGATAAATTGTCACCTATTACTCTGTCAGTCTAGCCAGCATGACTGACAGCAATAGCACTTAGACTTATATACAATTTCACAGTGCTTTACAGCCCCCTCTAAGCGGTTTACAGAGTCAGCCTATTGCCCTCAACAATCTGGGTTGTCATTTTACCCACCTCGGAAGGATGGAAGGCTGAGTCAACCTGGAGCCTGGTAAGATTCTAACTGGCAAATTACAAGCAGCCGGCAGTCAGCAAAAATAGCCTGCAGTACTGCATTCTAACCACTGCGCCTCCACGGCTCTTAATAATGGGAATGATGAAGATAGCAGCTGAAGAAGATAATTTGGCCTCTGGCTATTTTGGATATATTAGGGCCAGTTCTCCAATCATCATCTGTCCTGCAACCTACAGCACCACCTCTCATCATGTTCCAGAACATCTGAGCAGTATCTAGAGCAATGTTAAAGTGGCATAGGGAAGGAAAGGGGGGATTAAAGGGCATTGCTTTTCCAATGCTTTCTCAGCTCCCCACCCCCCAGTGCCAGCCAAGCTCCACAGGCTCTAAGTCTGGTTCCACCCCCATCCATTCCACTGTGATACTGAGCAGGTTGTTTCCAAATCATGTCCTAGTTAAAACATCTTACTTGTGTGGCAATTCAGGACAGCCCTCTGTAGCAGCAGGAGAAGGCTGGAGGGGAGTCAAAAGCTTTTGTGCATCCTGTCTGTTTAGCAAGCGCGGCGTTTTCTGCTCCCAGTAGATTCCATTTATCACACAGGTAGCATAGGGTGCAATCTGTAAATGAAACTGTATTTTACTTATTCCCTGTGATGTCAATTGCATGAGTCAAATTAATTACCTTGAATGGCTTTTTCCATCAACTGAACCCCTTGCTTCAAAAGATTTGGGTGCAGAACAGGCTACCTGATAACAAGTGGTCAAGATGGATCTCCTGTTACAATGCTGAATGCTTGAGGAGAGATTGTACCACTCTGATTCCCGCCTCCGGGAAAATTATCCTCTCCCTATCTCACTGAACAGGAGCCTTAAGTGTACTTCCTTTGGTGGTATTTGGCAGAGAATTTTGGTGACAGCAACCTAGTCACCAAGCTTCTTCTTGTGAAGCTTCTTCTCCGGTAACATTGTACTGCAAACTAGGGCACACAAAACTTTTGCCAGACCAATTCTCAAATACCTTGTCTGCCTGGAACCCACACTGTATAAAGGACATTAATACAATTGCGAGTCCAGAGGTATTTCACAAGAAGAGTCCTCCAATCCTTTGCTCACAATAGAATATCTTATGCCACCAGGCTTGAAATTTTGGGCTTAGACAACCTAGAACTACACCGACTAAGGTCTGATCTAAGCGTAGTACACAAAATTGTCTGCTACAATGTCCTACCTGTCAATGAATACTTCAGCTTCAAGCGCAAAAATACACAGGCAAACAATAGATACAAACTAAAGGTAAACTGCTCCAAACTTAATTGCAGAAAATATCCTCAACCCCCACCCCCCTTCCGTAACTTTAACCTTAAACTGTCTAACATGGACTTCACCCCATTCCTAAGAGGTCTGTAGGGGGCATGCATAAGCTCACCAGCGTGCCTACTGTCCCTATCCTACTGTCTCCCATTTATTCGTACCCATTTTCTATGTTCATGCCCATGTATATTCTTATACCTGTTATCTTGTACATGTTTGACAAATAAATAAAATAAAATAAATAAATAGTTCCTTCTGAAGCTGATACTTGTAATCACTGAGGATTACATGCAAATCATGGGCTTTCCAGAAGCAGGTCTAAGTAATCAACAGTTGAAGAACCCAAAGTAAAAAAGCAAAAAAACTACCTTTGTTCAGGTAGGATACCCTGCCAAGAATGGCCAGCATTAGCATGAATTTCAGGCAAGGGTTTTATAACTAGAGGGCAGGTGCTCACAATCCATGGTCAATGTCAAAGAACAAGGAGCTCCTAGTCTAGAAAAATTAGAAGTCTTACTTACATCATTGTTAAACCGTGATGTATAGAGTTCCGGATGCTTGTCATATTCTACTGGATCATATGCTCCATCAGTTTTCCTTACAAGATGATGGTGTCGACTTAGTACTGTTCCGTATACTTTTTTAAGGTCTGTGATGAAGTAGGCAGTAAATCAGACAGAGATACTAGATACTGCAAATTCCCAATGCACATATGATTGATTTAGTAGTACCTCCAGTTCTAGAGACCTCCTTCAATTCATGGGGTTCCACAAACTCACAAGGCAGAGCATTAAACATTTCCTGGGCACCCTGCAGAGAAAAATATAAGATTTTAGAAATAATGCAAGCCAATGAGAAATAATATTTATACGAAAGACCTTTGCACACTATACTTTATAGAGGCAGTATGCTAAGTCAATAATGGTATGATGCTCAAATTGGCCAAGGAAAAATGCCATTCAAGTTAGTGGTGGGTTTCCAATTTTTTTACTTCCGGTTTGCTTGTGCATGTGTGCATGCTAGCACATGCGCTCGATGCTTATGTACATGCGCAGAAGCGTCTGGTCAGGTGAGTGGAGCCTCCCACCGGTGCTACTACCAGTTCACCCAATCTGGGTTGAACTGGGAGCAACCCACCTCTGATTCAAGTCCTACCTGGCTTTAGATCACCAGTCCCTCCTTCTCAATTGTTGTTCTCATTTCTTGCTCCCTGTAGACCCTACTGCTGAATGTAAGATAGATACTACAGAGAGGGACCCCGGAACACATGTTTCCTCATGCTATTTCAAATTCTGACTCCATATCTGCTTTCAGCCTAGAAATCCTAAGGGGAGATCTGAGAAAGCCTCTAAAATCGTGGAGATTCCACCAATGAATATACATGATCCCATTGTGGGATATAATCAGTTTTAATACAACTAAACTTTTGTAGTCCATTTTCATTTACCTTTGGAAAAAAGAAGTAGCTAAGGAGAAAAATGTCTATTGAGTCTTGTGGAAGCTTTATAATGAGATGGGTGGCATATAAATTTAATAACTAAACAAAATAATACAATTATTTTGCCCTTATTTCTTTCCACAAAACGTTAAAAAACCCTTACTGACTAATATCAATTTTATAAATTAAATTTCCTGTTGGATTCCTAATTTACCTTTCTGACTATTGCTAGAATGTTTATACTTTTGAGGGCCTGAGTGTGTTTGTTTTTTTAAAGTCTATTGTTTGTGTGTGTGTGTGTGTGTGTGTATGTGTGTGTGTGTGTGTGTGTTTGAGAGAGTGAGAGAGCGAGAGACAGAGACAGATACAGAAACAGACAGAAAGAGAGAGAGAGAGAGAGAGAGAGAGAGAGATGGGGAGGAGGGAGGGGAGAGTGAAGGGAGGAGGTGGTGGGAGGGAAGGAGGGAGAGGGAGGGAGAGAGAGAGAGAGAGACTTTGCACTTACTCCATCCAGTTCTCATGAACTGTGGTTCCATAGAGAACCCAGTGAAAACCCGTAGCATATTTGACTATCAAGACAACTTACAACAATAAGAGAGATTCAGTAGTATCTGCAAGGGTGGTCCTGGGGCCAAGAGAAAAAAGTAGGAGCAAAGCTTCATTGGAAATGAAGACCATGAGTTTCCCACTTTGACATAAGGGCAATGCCTTGTTATACCTGCCACCTGGGGCAATCACATTTCTGCATTGAGTATTTATAAAGTAGATAGGCATCATGTGCTTATAAAAATATTTATTACCCTGATGTAGATAATAGCTCACGGTTTCAGTGAGAAAATCTATTAATGTGTCTTACCTTAGAGACATTCCCAGTCCCTGTAAACACAAATGTGAGTGGCCCGATTGATTTTGGCATCAATCCTAAGGAAATTTCATAGCCAGCATCCCGAACTGCTTGAACAGCCTGGCTACTATTTCTATAATTATGAGCCATACCAATATGCTGAAACCAAAGACAGAACACTGTTGTCAATAAAACTTTCAGAAAGGTTAAAAATGCCTGCAATCCAACTTTTGGCTTGGCACACAGTCTTACCATGAATGGGGTGTGATGTCCCAAAGCAAGAAAACGTAATCCCATTCCATGTAAAATATTGATCATACCTGGATTAGAATTGCAATTTATACAGTTATTAATCAAATGATGCAATCATGATGCCAAAAGAAAACAAAAACAAAAAAAACATTGAACGATAGAAAGGAATTGAAATAGCTTGTATATCAAAAATATATTATCATTCTTTCCAAAACGGGCTAGTTCTGAAGTTTAGAAGTACACATCCCTTCAGACCTTTATCAAATAAATTACTAGGAATGAGGGAACTCTAGCCTGCAGTGTTTGAAGGATTCCTGTTGGAGAAAGTTCCTACTTATTCTTATCTAAAACTGAGCCAGACCATATCCTAAAAATAAATGCAATCTCCTATTCAAATAAATACTGGATAAGATCATCTATTGCTTATCCTACTGATTAGATAATGCAGACCATCCACCCCTGAGTGAGGCACTGCATTCCAGTTTTTGTTTTAATAGGAAGAGGCGGGATGAGTAGCTACCAGGCAAACTACAACCTTCCCAAATGAAACTGAGCTATACAAATAGCCTGACTTGTGATAAGGTAGACTCTTATGGTGCAAGAGGGCAATATGTTGCAGAAACTTAAGATAGTCTAAATCAGGGGTGTCAAACTCGATTTCATTAGAGGCCGCATCACGGTTGTATCTGACCTGGGGGGGCTGGGTGCGTGTGGTCAAGGTGGGCGTGTCTAGGGTAGGTGTGGCCAGCTCAATGTCACTTGTGTCGGGGGCGCCTGTGGTGGCCCAAGCGCTCTGCCAGCAAAAATGGGCTCCCAAGCTCCCTTTCGGCCTCATGCAACCCTCTGCCAGGGAAAATGGAGCTCAGGAGGGCGGCTTTCCCAAGCTCTGTTTTCACTGGCAGAGACACCACGGGCCAGTCCTTTGCTGCTTCCAAGGCGGCCCCACGGGCCAGATCTAAGCACCCGCCCCCAGGCCTTGAGTTTGACACTCCTATTCTAAATGAATGCCCTAAAACTGAACAAAACAGACGTATCACTTTATCTACACTATTACTTCATAGATACCCCAAATATTCTTCATGAAAAATAAGTGTACAATATTAATATTCAGTCCAGATACCTGCAACTCCAGCCCACTTTCCAAATGCTACAACTCGCACTCCTCTGTGGTCCACCATTTTCTCATAATCTATCAATCGAATATTCTAAAAACATAAAGCAGACAGCATGTGTCAAGTCATAGAAGCCAGGCTGCAAGTTGCTTCTCACATCTGGATCTCAATGATCCAGATACAGGTACTTTTAACAGAGGTAAATATGGTTTCAGTTTTTATATGAGGTTTGGGTGCCTTACAAAATCTATGCACATATTCACTGGATTGATGCAATTATCAAAGATTAAGGCAGCTTTAATATATTTATTTTCAGAAATAGTAAGGTAAAGGTAAAGTTCCCCTAGCACATATGTGCCAGTTGTTCCTGACTCTAGAGGGCGGTGCTCATCTCAGTTTCAAAGCTGAAGAGCCAGTGCTGTCCGAAGACATCTCCATGGTCATATAGCCGGCATAACTAAATGCCAAAGGCCCACGGAATGCTGATACCTTCCTACCAAAGATTTCCCTATTTTTCTACTTGCATTTTTTACATGCTTTTGAACTGCTAGGTGGACAGAAGCTGGGACAAGTAACGGGAGCTCACTCCGTTACACGGCGCTAGAGATTCGAACCGCTGAATTGCCAACCTTTCTGATCGATAAGCTCAGCGTCTTAGCTACTGAGCCACCGTATCCCTTTCAGAAATCGTAGCAGAAGAGAAATGTGCCTTTATTTTACTCACAAGTTCAAAATATTATGTATGCTTTAAAAAATCATTAATCTGAATTGAAAATCAGCTCTGTCCCAAGAGGGTATTTCTTAGTATTAGTGACTATTTTGTTTCAATTCAATCTTTAATTTTTTAATTTG